CGCGGGGCTCCATCCCAGGATCCTGGGATCGTGACCTGAGCCAAAGGCAGACTCTTAGCTGACTGAGCCACCCATGTGCCCCTATTCTTGTCTTTTTGATGATAGCCATTCTAACAAGGGTGAAATGATACCTCATTGTGGTTTTGATTTGCATTTCCCTGATGATTAGTGATGCTGAGCACCTTTTCATATAGGTGTTGGCAATTTGTCTTCTCTGGGAAAATGTCTATTTGGGTCCTCTGCCCATGTTTTAATTGGGTTGATTGTTTTTTGTTACTGAGGTATGAGTTCTTTATATATTAGCCCCATATCAGATATATGATCTGCAAATATTTTCTCTGTTTATTCATTTTGTTGATGGTTTCTTTTACTGTGCAGAAGCTTTTTAGTTTGATGTAGTCCCACTTATTTATTTTTTTTGTTGCCTTTGGGTTTGGTGTCAAATCCAAAAAAATCACTGCCAAGACATATGTCAAGGAGCTTACCACCTGTGTTTTCTTCTAGGAGTTTCATGGTTTCAGGTCTTACATTCAAGTCTAATCTATTTTGTGTTAATTTTTATGTATGGTATAAGATAGCAGTCCAGTTTCATTCTTTTGCATGAGACTGTCCAGTTTTCCCAGCACTGTTTCTTGAAGAGATTGTCCTTTCCCCATTCATTGTATGTTCTTGGCTCCTTTGCCATAAATTAATTGACCACATAGGTTTATTTCTGGGCTCTGTTCTCTTCCTTTGATCTATGTATCTGTTTTTATGCCAATTCCATACTCTTCTGATTACTCTAGCTTTGTAGTAGTCTGAAATCAGGGAGTATGATGCCTTCAGCCTTATCATTTAAGGTTGCTTTGGCTGTTCGGGGTCTTTTGGGGTTCCATACAAATTTTAGGATTGTTCTGTTTCTGTAAAAAAAAAAAAAAAGCCATTGGAACTTTAATAGGGATTGCATTGTATCTGCTTTGGGTAGTATGGACATTTATAATTCGTAAGCAAGGAATACCAGTGCATTTATTTCTGTCTTCACTTTCTTTCACCAGTGTCTTAAAAGTTTCAGTGTACAGGCCTTTCACTTTGGTAAAATTTATTCCTAGGTATTTTATTCTTTTTGATGCAGATTAAGTAGTATTGTTCTCTTAATTTCTCTTATGAAACTTTTTAAAAAATACTTTGAGAGAGAGAGCATGAGCAGGGGTAGGAAGGAGAAGCAGACTCCCCACTGAGCAGGGAGCCCGACCCAGGGCTCCATCCCAGGACCCTGAGATCATGACCTGAGCCCAAGGCAGACTTAGCTGACTGAGCTACCCAGGTGCCCCGAAACTTTTTAATAAAGACTTCTTTCAGTCAAAATATAGTTAGCAGGTATAAAGAAAGGTTTAAGATAGTCAAATCATAATGGATTACTAAGGGAAGCTGGGAGGACTGGGAGCCATTCTTAGTCTTTGGAGTCAACATCAGAGCCTTCCCCGGCACATCCTGTGTTTGCCCTCAGAGCAGACCCTGAGTCATCTAGACAAGTGGGGTCATTCTTAGGTTTTTATATTTGTAAACTGGCATTTATAGAGAGGACCATTTAACAAAAAAAGGCATACATATTTTCTGATCAAGTTTGAGGCTACCTCCTGTTCGGTTATTACTGTCTTTAATGTTCTGTTAACATGATTTATACACACCATTTAAGAGAATAATACATAGTTTATGTGTTCATTTTCTTACAGGTTGCAGATATTTTATTCCAAACTGCCCAAAATGCAGGAATCCATTTTGACAGTGTGTGTGGAGTACCTTATACAGCTTTACCGTTGGCTACAGTTATCTGTTCAACCAACCAAATTCCAATGCTTATTAGAAGGAAAGAAACAAAGGATTATGGTAAAATAAAAGTATTATAAGCTTTAAGTTATACATAACCTGATAATGTTAGAATTTTTTCTTCTAGGCACTGATGTTTGTCAAAGTCACCTTGGATATTCTTCATAGGTCCTTTAGAATTGGTTAACTGTTACTGTAAATCACCTTCCTTTCCTTCAGATTCTAGGGGTACAGCGTTTTGTATTGACTAAACAATGTAAAAAAGTGCACTTTTTTTGGTATTATATCTGTGAAACCTAACATTTTTAACCAGTCCTTCTCTCAGCAGCAGAATGTTCTAAGAGCACATACTTGCCTGGTATATTTATAATTTAAACTGCATAAAGAGAAATGCCACATAAAATTCTCTAAATGAAGATATATTTTCATGGGTCCTTCGCAGTAAATTATAAGGGTGTGTTTTATACATGTGAGCTTGCTTTTTTTTTTTAATAATTAACTTTTTTTTTTAAGATTTTATTTATTTATTTGAGAGAGAGAGAATGAGAGAGAGAGAATGAGAGACAGCAAGCACATGAGAGGGGGGAGGGTCAGAGGGAGAAGCAGACTCTCCGCCGAGCAGGGAGCCCTATGCGGGACTCGATCCAGGGACTCCAGGATCATGACCTGAGCCAAAGGCAGTCACTTAACCAACTGAGCCACCCAGGCGCCCCTACATGTGAGCTTGCTTTAAAAACAAATCAGTCTCAGGGCTCCTGGCGGGCTTAGTCAGAGGAGCATGGGACTCTTGACCTTGGGGTCATGAGTTCAAGCCCTATCTTAGGTGTAGAGATTACTAAAAAAAATAATAAACTTAAAAAAAAAAATCAATCTAAAAATATTGGAACGGACTTCATATTTGATGACATTAAGGAATTAATGGGGTTTTTTTGTTTTATGTTGGTGTGATAATATTTCTGTTAATTTTTTTAATAGGGTCCTTACCTTTTACAAGATGCATTCTAAAAATTTTTTATGATGAAAATCATGACATCTGGAGTTTGCTTCTAAAAATTATGGAGGGAGGGAAGAGGTGGGGATGTAGCTGAAACAAGATTGACCATGAGTTAAGTGGTGAGGTATTTAGGGGGTTTGTTATACTTCTTTGCCTAGTTTTGTTTGAAATTCTACATTTAAAACAAAATATTTTTGCTGCTTGATGGCACAGTGTTTATCGGTATGGACCCTGCCCATAAGGAAACTATTGTTTCTATTATGTTTTTAAAAATATTTCTTAGAATAAGATCAGTAATTGTAAATATATATATAAGTATCATAGTCTTGTGTTCTAGTCTATCATAGTCTTGTGTTCTAGTCTAAGCTGGTTCAGTTCAATTTGCCAGTTCAAGGGGAGGAAAAGAATGGGGAAGGGCAGGAATGGTACCTGTGGTAAAGCTCAAACAGTGGGCAAATTGCTCACCAATTCTTAGGTTTCAACATAAGATAAATTTGATAGTGGAAACTAGAAAACGAATCTCTAGAAAATGAGTCTATAAAGTCTATAGCCTTACTTATTTACGTTTTGTAGATTATCTGCAAGTAGTCTATGGTGGGGGTTGGAGTGGGGAAGTACATTTACTCATTGCATTATATAATCCATAAAGTTGTAGTGATAGATCTAAATGGTTGTTGAATATATTTTCTCCTGAATTTATTTCTTCAAAAGGCCAGTTGTTTGGTTGATCTTGAGTAATGAACTTGTTTGTTGATGGAAAAAAGAAGGATTTCATTGATGGTACTGGGTTATTGTTTCATAACTTTCCTTCATCTAGGTTATCTTGCTTTAAGAAACTCCTATTTGAAATTATGATCGTGAACACATTAAGTGGTGCTTATTTACCCTATAAAGTAATTTGCTAGTTTTGCTGTAAATATTCTATATATGTAACTTCGACAATTTTCAGTAGGGGAACACTGAACAAAATGGTAATCATGGCTCATTGAAGATTTATCAGGAATAAAGGTAAAGTAGCTCTAAAGTAGATTATCAGAAAATAAGATTCAATCATCCACCTCTTCATAAATACATGCCAAATTTATAATGCCAGATACATCTTGAGTTGGCTGAAATAATATACTTTTAAATTGAAATCAACATAATGTTTTCTAGGTACTAAGCGTCTTGTAGAAGGAGCTATTAATCCGGGAGAAACCTGTTTGATCATTGAAGATGTCGTTACCAGTGGGTCTAGTGTTTTGGAAACTGTTGAGGTTCTTCGGAAGGAGGGATTGAAGGTCACTGATGCCATAGTGCTCCTGGACAGAGAGCAAGGAGGCAAAGACAAGTTGCAGGCCCATGGGATCCATCTTCACTCAGTGTGTACATTGTCCAAAATGCTGGAGATTCTTGAGCAGCAGAAAAAAATTGATGCTGAGATGGTTGAGAGAGTGAAGAGATTTGTTCAGGAGAATGTTTTTGTGGCAGCTAATCATAACGATTTACTCCTTCCTATAAACAAAGCTCCCGGAGAACTCAGCTTTGGTGCACGTGCAGAGCTGCCCAGGATCCACCCAGTTGCATCGAAGCTTCTCAGGCTTATGCAGAAGAAAGAGACCAATCTTTGTCTGTCTGCTGATATTTCAGAGTCCAGAGAGCTGTTGCAGCTAGCAGATGCTTTAGGACCCCTCATCTGCGTCCTTAAGACTCATGTAGATATTTTGAATGATTTTACTCTGGATGTGATGAAGGAGTTAACAGCTCTGGCAAAACGCCACAAGTTCTTAATATTTGAAGACCGGAAATTTGCAGATATAGGAAACACAGTAAAAAAACAGTATGAAGGTAAGCACTATTTAGGAATCTGCAAAAATAGAAATTTAGCTTAAACTGCCTGAAGAACAAAAGGAAATGTTTTGACTCCCATCACTGAAAGTCCAGCCATAGAAGAATCTGTCAAGCATGGTTGGATCTAGGAGCTCAAGCACAAGTCTTTTGGACTTGCTTTCTTGTCATCTGTCAGCTCTGCTTTCTTCTCTCTTGACTTCTTTCTCAGGTGGGCACACTCCTCATGCCTACCCCAAACTAGTCACTCAGGCCTGGGTTATAGAATAGCTTTATTAGCTTAGTAATATATGCCCTGCCTCTGGTGATGTGAGGTTGTTAACTGTAAATTTTTTGAACTGAGCTCTGGTCGAAGGTAGTTTCCCCAAAGAAAATGGGTGTGCTGATGCCAGAAGAAAGGGATGCACGTGCTAGGCAGACAAAAATGACAGGCGTTGGCCTTGGCAGAACACAATGAGTTCTGAATATTTGAAAAATGAAAGTTGCAGATATAGGAAACAATGAAATAGAAGTGTAAAGTTGTAACATTTGTTTTGGGCAAAAAAAGATCTATTGGTATACTTTTTTTGTTGTTAAATAGGAACTTAAAATAGAGCATATATTGGTTTAAAGAAAAACTGCTTAATTTTCTACCCATTCTATGGAAGTTTCTGTCATATTGTATAGGGCAGCTTTTTTTGCTTAAATAACAGGATAAAACGTTTATTGAAAGGTTAACTTTTTTTTTTTTTTAAAGATTTTATTTATTTATTTGAGACAGAGAATGAGAGAGAGAGAGCACATGAGAGGGGGGAGGGTCAGAGGGAGAAGCAGGCTCCTTGCCGAGCAGGGAGCCCGATGCGGGACTCGATCCAGGGACTCCAGGATCATGACCTGAGCCGAAAGCAGTCGCTTAACCAACTGAGCCACCCAGGCGCCCAAAAGGTTAACTCTTAAAGACTTATAGATGGCAATTTTTCTTAAATACATGCTTATGCTTAAGCTATTTCTTTAGGATAGATTTGCCTGTGACTTTCTTCCTGTGCTTAAGATGTTCTGCCATCATCACATTGCTTACTTTAGTTTATCAACTGAGGTAAGAGTTACACAAACTCTACAGGTTTGTATATAGTTTTCTCAGAAATTGATTAAGGGTATTGCTGTCAGCTTTTAAAGTGAATATAGTTGCCTGTTGAAATTAAGAGACCTCAGGAGCAAGTAGAACCTTTGAGAGATGGTAAAGTTGCTGAGAGATTCCTGCAGAATGAACATTGGTCATCCTCAGAGGAATTTCAGAATGCTGGTATCTTCGGCCTCAAATGCCCTTCTTCACTGGAATTCCATTTCTCTTTGCATGTTTTATTGGTGTCAGAACCTTCAGCCTGCAAGGAAAACCAGTCTTCTCAGTGTTGCTGATAACTAAGTGCAGAAATTGTAAGACTTTGCTCATTGTGCTCTTTCAGCTGGCCACCAGGTGAACAGATAGTTTTTCGCAGATGGACCCATAGGTCCCCTGGTAATCACTGCAGTTCTCAGAGTGCCTCACTGTTTCATTAGCATGTTACTGTAAGATTACTTCAGACTGTGGTCGGTTGGGCAAAAAGTTAGTGGTTTTTGTTTGAAAACTGTCTTCTTTTCAACTTCCTAGGTGGTGTCTTTAAAATAGCTTCTTGGGCAGATCTGGTCAATGCTCACGTGGTGCCGGGCTCGGGGGTAGTGCGGGGCCTGAGCGAAGTCGGCCTGCCTTTGCAGCGTGGGTGCCTGCTCGTTGCGGAGATGAGTTCTGCCGGCTCCTTGGCTACAGGCAGCTACACTGACGCGGCGGTAGGTGATGGAGGGGCTGGCGTGACAGAAGTTACAGGGCAAGAAAACCATCTTAAATTTGAGATTTATGGAACCCCTCCCCCCAAAAAATCAGCTGTTAGGGTGGCAGTAATGCTAGGGGGCTAGAGTTTCCGGATAATAGCATTTTTATATCTTGTAGTGGGCACTTGAGATACAAACATTTTTTTTTTAAAGATTTTTTTTTTATTTATTTATTAGAGAGAGAGTGAGAGAGAGAGCCCAAGAGGGGGTAGGGTCAGAGGGAGAAGCAGACTCCTTGCTGAGCAGGGAGCCCGACATGGGACTCGATCTCAGGACTCTGGGATCATGACCTGAGCCGAAGGCAGTCGCTTAACCAACTGAGCCACCCAGGCACCCAAGAGATAGAAACATTGAGATACAGGTATTTGGTCAAATATCTGCCTAGCCTTACCTGGTCTTTAGATAGCTGGGGGTTTTTTGGGTTTGTTTTGTTTTGTTTTCATTTTGCCATGTATTGAAATTGAAGAGCCTCTTCCCAGACGTGCAGTTTCTCAGAATCTCCCAAGTCTCCCAGAGATGCACATTCTTATCACAGCAGCCCAGATTAAGTTTTATCTTCTTCAGTCTCTGCTATTGATTGTAACTGTGTGGGAAAGCTCTAGAGTTCTGACTTAGGGTTTTCTCCATTAACCCTCCGTTATTGAAAGTTCTTATAACACCATATTGTTAGTACCCAACACCCACCCCTGCACACCAGAATAAAATGAGATGGATAATTATCTAGTTAAAAAGTTCCTTTACGGATATTTTAAAGACTATTACTTTTAAAAGTAATAGAAATTTTAATAAAATGTTATTTTTTACATGGGAATTCATTTTTATATAACTTCAAATACTGTCTGGAGCTGTGAAGAAATCATATGGCCCTGGGGCCAGGTTTTAAGCCCACCTCTGAATTGACCATAAGTGTGATTTCCCAGATCTCCTAGCAGAGTCCATGAGTCAGTGCTAATATTTGGCATTCTGGGAGGCTGGGTCTGGCTCGGCTCAAGGACAAGACATGGCTTGTTGGTAGGTGGTAATATTTGGTGACACAAATAGACAGTAGGAGCCTCGTGGAAGAGCCAGATTAGAAAGACTATCTAGAGAAACTTCTATAAATGTGAGGAAATGGTGGAGATCGGTTATTGGTAGATGTTAAAGGAATGCAGTAAAAGGTGAGATTTCTTTAGCCCTTGACAACATAGCTATTTTATATGGTGGGTGTCTGGATATAGAGCAGTACTCTGTGTAGGTAGGCAGGAAGCAGTCAGTTTGGTTTCCTACCATTATTAATGTATTCTAGGATACTCTCCACATACCCTCTTTTGAAGTAGGTGGGTTCCCAAGCATTATTATTTAGCGTCTCAATTTTAGATGCACATAGTATAGGATTCTTTAAGGTATGATTAATTGGGAGAAGGGGTTATCTCAGGGTCTTCATGGATCAAGTATGTAGATTCATATCTAAGATTACCTGTTTTAGATGTGTTTCATATCAAATAACAGAAGGCATTTATAAAATAGCAAAAGTTTTTAATTAATAGAGTTGATTTTTTTTACTTGTAGAACTGTTATTCTGTGTAATTACTTTCTTGTAATCTGTCCTTTTACATTCCTTTTAGGTTAGAATGGCGGAGGAGCATCCTGAATTTGTGCTTGGTTTTATTTCTGGCTCCCGAGTAAGCATGAATCCAGAATTTCTTCACTTGACTCCAGGAGTTCAGTTAGAAGCAGGAGGTAAATCTATTTATTGGTGATGGTTTTTCCAAAATGCTTCTTTACCCACAATAAAATTTTGTGTTATTACAAAGTTGCTAAAGAGAAAAACTGTAATGAATGAGCCCTTTGGCCTGCTGATACTGACCTAGATATGCAAAATAGCTTGCAGTCTAATTTGGGTGAAAATTTTAAAAGCTGCTTTTTGTTGAAATATGCCTAGAAACTGATTATTTTAGTTTAGTCTTTCCCAACTAATATTCCAAATATGCTGCCATAAAAGGTATTCTGTGATTAAGGAAGAATGCTCTAGGTTAAACAAAATCCAACATTTGTTTCTTTGTTAGAGGATGCTGCAGAACTGTTGATGTGCTAATGTCTGTTGTAGCTCTTGAGTGTGGGGATATATGGTTCTTTCATGTCTCTCAAACTTAACACTTTCACCAGTCTGATAAAAGTAGAGTGGCTAAAAAACAGGACAAATACAGTCTGTAGTAAAGGGAGTAAACTGGGTTATAAAAATAAGCATTTTTATCTGGTAAGCGCTGTGAATTGTGCAAGACTGTTGAATCTCAGATCTGTACCTCTGAAACAAATAATGCAATATATGTTAAGAAAAAGAAAAAAGAAGAAGAAGGTAGCGGGAGAAGAATGAAGCGGGGGAAATCAGAGGGGTAGACGAACCATGAGAGACGATGGACTCTGAAAAACAAACTGAGGGTCTGGAGGGGAGTGGGGTGGGAGGATGGGTTAGCCTGGTGGTGGGTATTGAGGAGGGCACATTCTGCATGGAGCACTGGGTGTTATGCACAAACAATGAATCAGGGAACACTTCATCTAAAACTAATGATGTAATGTATGGGGATTAACATAAGTATAAAATAAATAAATAAAAAATAAGCATTTTTATATGTCCTATGGGACTCAGTAAAGTGAAACATTTTTCCTGGATTGGTTGCTTATCACACTTATGGTAGTTTATTCTATCCCATTTTCCATCTCTTTCTAAGAAGTTGGAAATTGGAACTTTGAACAGTAGGGTTCTCAGCAAAACTTTAAAAGGAAAACAACTAGCTTGTCACCCCTCAGTGGAATTTGTCAGGTGTTCAGAAGTTACCTGTAGATTTTATACTAGTCATTCTTATGTAAGTCATACCCATCTCTCCATTGCACCATTCATTCCCCAGTCTAGCTTTCCCCTCCAGAGATAATCACATAATTGGTGTGTTATGTATCCTTCCAGACCTTTGGCTTTGCATATACTCACAAATGCACATAGAGTGGGAGCCACATCCAGAGTTACCTTTTTTTTTTTTTTTAAAGATTTTATTCATTTATTTGAAAGAGAATGAGAGAGAGCACATGAGAGGGGTTAGGGTCGGAGGGAGAAGCAGACTCCCTGCTGAGCAGGGAGCCCGATGTGGGATCGATCCAGGGACTCCAGGATCATGACCTGAGCCAAAGGCAATTGCTTAACCAACTGAGCCACCTAGGCGCCCCAGAGTTACCTTTTAACAACTACATAGTGTTTCCTAGTTATAATTGGGCTGTAATATGTTTAACCATTTCCCCTGTTGATACATTTGGATGGTTTTATAAGCAGTGAACATCCTTGTATACATTTTTGCACATGTAGAGTATTTCTGGAATATTCTTCTAGGCTAAAAACTTGAGAATGAGAGCTTTCTGAAGAATGCATATCCTCCAGTACAGTGTTCCTGTGCTTCATAAATGGCCTATAAATACTCCTACAAATGTTGGAGGAATGAAAAATATGCTGTATAAGAACAGTTGAAAGGGTTGGTGTTCTGACTGGGACAGTAATACTGAGAACATAATGATTGAAGGTATGAGTTTGGTAAACTTGGTTTTCTTTTTATACCCTGGAATACTAGAAATAGCAGATTCCCATTAGCTCCTTCAAAGTTAATTATTGTATATAAACAATATAACCACATTTGGGAAGGTACCGCCTGTTTGGGATTTGGTGGTTTAACTGTATAGTTTAAGCAGAAAACATTACAGGAGGTTAATCAGGAAAGGGGCGCCCGGGTGGCTCAGTCGGTTAAGCATCTGACTCTTGATTTCCACTCAGGCTGTGATCTTGAGGTCATGGGATCAAGCCCTGTGTTGCGCTCAGTGGGAGTCTGCTTGGGATTCTCTCTCTCTGCCCCTCCCCCTGCTCGCTCTCTAAAAATATTTTTTATTTTAGAGAGAGCAATGGGCAGAGGGACAAGCAGACTTTGTGCTGAGCACAGAGCCTGACCCAGGGCTCGATCCCATGACCCCGAGATCATGACCTGAGCCAAATGCTTAACTGACTGAGTCACGCAGGCGTCCCAATAAATAAAATCTTCAAAAAAAACCAAAGTTAATCAGGAAGAAAAGTTAATGAATGGTGGCTGAACCCCCAGGTTAAAGGGTATTGGGGGTTTTGACATTTTAATTTGCACTAAATGTTTTGAGTCAGGTTTGGATTCCTGGCCCTTCCTTCCATTTAGTAACCATGTATCTTTGGACAGGTCATTTATTTTGGTGTCATTTTCAAGTATAAAATGGGGATGTTAACAGTGTTGACCTCATAGGGTTGTTGAGAAGCTTAGTGAGGTGTGTAATGCACTTCACCCAATGTCTTGACACAGAGTAAGCACTCTGCTTATCAACTGCTAATGTTCATTATAAGACCCCATAATTTGACTAGATAGGATCTAGGCTTTTAAGAATATTTAAAGCATCATAAGCCATTTAGCAGGATTCAAGAGCAACAGAATTTTAAAAAGGGAAATGTGGGGCTCTGGTTTAAGAAGGAAGATCCTGAACTCTCCTCCTGAGTCTGCAGCTACGTATGGGATATTTTCTCTGAAAAAACCTAAAGTCTGGCTGAACAAGGACTTCATGTTCGGCAAATGAGAAGAAAACCACATCAGAGTGGGTAGGAGAGGCTGGGACACAGTCTCACCATAAAGCTGACTTAGAAGGGAAGTCAAAACTTGGAGCATCTCCCTAAGGAGTGAAGGGATTGAGCTGCACATCAGGTACTCTCAACTTCTGAAAACCAACAGGGCTTGTATCCACAAGACTAGTGATCTGAGAAATGGCTCTTAAGGGCTCTCCCACATGGACTCACCCACCCTAAGTCCCAGCTCAGAGGTAGCTGATATTGCCCGGACTTTTTAAGTAAAAAGGCTCATTTATTAATAATAAAGTGCTGGCGTAGGGGGCAGGCACCTAATTTCACACACACATTTAAGAGCCTACTGCAGCATTCTTCAGGGACAGAGACTGGTGGGCGCCATCTTTGTGCTCTACTCCTGCCATAGCACAGTACCAGTAGCTCCAAAAGGGAGTTTTTACACATAGCTGGTGCCCAGGGGACATCCCTTATTCACTTGGCTTTGGAGGCCAGAGGAGCTTTGTTAACAGTTCCATGAGACCTGGAACATATCAGAGAGATCTTGGCAGGCTACCACTACCAGTCTTTCTATGATTTGCTTGCTTTGGAGCTTCAGACTGAAGGGCAGGCTTCAGGTTTGGCACATACCCCGGACCTGCAGAGCTGTTTTCAGGGAACAAAGCTGGTAGACACCATCTTTACACTCTCCCTCGTTACGGCTTGCCAGTATCTCCCAGAGAAGAGGGTAGATGCTTATCTGGAGCCCTGATTTTTTGCTATTGCCACCGGGGAGACACCTCCAAATAACCTGGCTCTGGTGGCCAGTGGGGCTTATAATTGAGGTCTCACAGAACTATCTATATTTGATGTTAAAAGCTGTGTCTGAGGGCCTGGCTTCCAATCAGCCTGAATCTAGGTGCTAAGATCCTTCCCTTTGGGATGCTGACAAGTCTTGGCATACTTCCAACTGCTGGAGCCATTGAAAATATAATAGACTTCTTGAACAATCACAATGGTTTGTGAGATGACTGAGAGGGCAGGTTTGAATGACCAAGCTTATCTGCTATGCACAGCCATTTTTTTCAAGACTGGGAGAGGGGGTTGTTTCATCTAATGCATAGAAACCAACAGAGTTGGCAAGCAAAATGAACAAAGGGTTTTATGTTCCAAATTTAAGACACACACAACCTCAGAAAAACTAATGAAATACCTGATAAAGAGTTCAAAGTAATAGTCATAAAGATGCAAAAAAAAAAAAGTCATAAAGATGCTCACCATACTCAGAAGAAAAATGGATGAATACAGTGAGAATTTCAACAAAAAGAAAATATAAGCAAATACTAAATAGAAGTCCCAGGGCTAAGGAATACAATAACTAAACTGAAAAATACACAGGCAGGGTTCACTAGCAAACTAGAGGAAACAGAAGGATCAATGAACTTGATGACAAGGTAGGAGAACTCACCCAATCAGAGCAGCAAAATGAAAAAAAGTAAAAAAAAAAAAAAAAAAAGTGAAGATAGCTTATGGGACAACATTAAGTGGACTGACATTCGCATTATAGGGGTCCCAAAATGAGGAAAGAGAAAGGGACAGAAAAATTATTGGAAGTAGTAGTGACTGAAAACTTCCCTAACCTGGAGAAGGAAACACATCCAGATCCAGGCAGCCCAGAAAGTTCCAAATAAGATGAATCCAAAGAGTCCACAACAAGATACAAAATGTCAGTTGTACTGTATGTTAGCTAGCTGAAATTTAAAAATTTGGAGGAAAAAAATTAAAATGGCAGAAGTTAAAGACAAGGAGAGACTCTTAAAAGCAGCAAGAGCAAAACAACTCCCTTGTATGTATACAAGGGAACTCCCATAAGACTATCAGATTTTTGCAGCAAACACTGCATGACAGAAGGGAGTGGTGAGATACATTCAGAGTGCTCAAAGAAAAGTCTTCCAACAAAGAACTCTACTCGCGGAGTTTAGAATTGAAAGATAAAAGTTTTCTGCAACAGCAACGGCTAAAGGAGGAGTTCATCATCACTAAACCAGCCTTACAAGAAATATTAAAGGGACTTCTTTAAGCTGAAACAAAAGGATGCTAATTAGTAACAAGAAAACGTATAAAAGAATAAATCTCACTGGAAAAGTAAATATATAGTAAAGGTAGTAGATTAGTCCTAAGTTAAAAGACAAAAGTAATAATAATTGTAAGTACAATAATTAAAGGATATGTAGGATAGAAAGGTATAAAGTGTGATATCGAAAATGTAAAAGATGGAAAGGGAGAAAAAATGTAGAACTTTAGAATGTTGTCAAACATAATTTTTATCAACTTAAGATAGACGTAAGTTGTTAAATATAAGCCTTATATAAACAATAAAGCAAAATCCTTTAGTAGGTGCACAAGATAAAGAAATCCAAGCATACCACTTAAAGTCATCAAATCACAAAGAGAGCAAGAGAAGAACAGAGCAACCAGAAAACAGCCAGAAAACAATTTAACAAAATGGCAGTAAGTACATACCTAACAATAATTACTTTAAATGGACTAAATTCTCCAGTCAAAAGAGTGGCTGAATGGATTTTAAAAACCAGACCTATCCATATGCTGCCTATAAGAGACTCACTTCAGATGTAAGCAAAGTATACTTCATACATAGACTAAAAGTGAAGAGATGGGAAAGATATTCCATGAAAATGGAAATCAGAAGAAATAGACTTATCAGACCAAATAGACTTTCAAACAAAGACAAGGGCATCATTACATAATGATGAAGGGGTCAGTCCAACAAGAGAATGTAACATCTATAAATCTTTTGGCATCCAGCATAAGAGCACCTAAATGTATAAAGCAAATATCAACAGTCCTAAAGGGAGAAATACACAGCAATACAAGAATAGTGTAGGGGATTGTAATATCTCACTTACATCAATAGATATCCAAACAGAAAACCAGTAAATGAACATCAGCCTTAACCCATTAGACCAGATGGACTTAACAGATATATACAGAACATTCCATCCAAAAGCAATAGAATACTCTTTCTTCTCAAGTGCACATGGAACATTCTTCAGGGTAGATAGTATGTTAGGCCCCAAAATAAATCTGATACTAAAACCAGACAAGAATGCCACAAGAATAGAAAATTATATATATTTTTGATGAACATAGATGTAAAAATCCTCAACAAAATAGCAAACTGAATTCATTGATACCTTAAAAGGATCATGCACCAGGGCACCTGGATGGCTCAGTCACAGTTGGGCGTTCAACTCTTGGTTTCAGCTCAGGTTGTGATCTTATGGTTCTTGGATCGAGCCCTGCGTGAGCCTCTGTGCTCAGCAGGAAGTCTGCTTGAGGATTCTCTCCCTCTGCCCCGCAAGTGCATGCTCTCTTTCTCTCTAAAATAAATAAAATCTTAAACAAAACAAAACAAGGAGATTCAACACCATGATCTGCTGGAATTAATTCCAGGGATGCAGGGGTGGTTCAATGTGATATACCACATTAACAAAATGAAGGATAAAAATCATATGACCATCTCAACACATGCAGAAAGAGCATTTGACAAAATTCAGTATCCATTTATGATAAAGACTTAAAGTGGATATAGAGAGAACACACCTCAATAATAATAAAGGCCATGTATGAAAAGCCCACAGTTAACCTAATACTCAGCAGTGAAAAGATAAAAGCTTTTCCTCTGAGATCAGGAACAAGACCAGGATGCCCACTCTCACCGCTTTTATTTCATAGTACTGGAAATCCTAGCCACAGATATTAGTCAAAAAAAAGAAACAAAAGTCATCCAGATTGGAAATGAAGACATAAAACTGTCACTATTTGCAGATTATATGTTATATAGCAAACCCTAAAGACTCCACCAAAAAACTGTTAGAACTAACACACGAATTCAGTCAAGTTGCAGGATATAAAAATCTGTTGCATTTCTGTACACTTAATATCATAGTATCTGAAAGAGAAATTTAGACAATCACATTTACAATGGCATTAAAAAGAATAAATTACTTAAGAATAAATTTAACCAAAGAGGTTAAAGACTGAAAACTGGAAGACATGAAAGAATTGAAGATGACACAAATGGGAATATACTCATGCTCTCGGATTGAAAGACTTAATATTGTTAAAATGCCCATACTACTCAAAATAATCAATAGATTTGATGCATTCCCTATAAAAATTCCAGTGGGAATTTTCACTGAAACAGAACTATACTAATATTTGTATGAAACCAAAAAAGACCCCAAATAGCTAAAGCAGTCTTGAGAAAGAACAAAATTAGAGGCATCACACTCCCCGATTTCAAATTATAATTACAAAGTTATAGTAGGTAAAACAATATTGATATAAAAACAGACACATAGATCAGTGGAATACAGTAGAGAGCCCAGAAATAAACCCATGCATATATGGTCAATTTCTGACAAAGGAGCTAAGAATATACAATGGGGAAAGGACATTCTCTTCAATAAAATGGTGTAAAGACTTGAAGTAAGGCTTGAAATCATGAAACTTCTAGAAGAAAACATAGGTGGCAAGCTCCTTAACATCAGTTTTGGCAGTGATTTTTTTTTAATCTGACCAAAACTAAAAGAAACAAAAGAAAAATAAGTAAGTAGAATTATATCAAACTAAAAAGATTCTGCACAGCAAAGGAAACCATCTAAATGGGAGGAAATATTGCTAATCATGTATTTGATAAGGGGTTAATACCCAGAGTATATGCTAAACTCGTATTCCTCTGTAGCCAGAAAAAAAGAATAACAATCCAATTAAATAGGCAGAAGATCTGAAAAGACATTTTACAAAGAAGACATACAGATGGCCAACAGGCACATGAAGATGCTAACCATTACTAATCATCAGGGAAATGCAAATCAAAACCATAGTGAGATAACACCTCACACCTGTCAGATTGGCTATTATCCAAAAGTCAAGAAGCGTTGGCAAGACTGTGGAGAAAAGGGAACCCTTGTGCTCTGTTGCTGGGAATGTAAATTGGTACAGCTAACATGGAAAACAGTGTGGAGGTTCCTCAAAAAGTTAAAATTGTATGACCTAGTAATTTCACTTCTGAGTATTAATCCAAGAAAAACAAAAACACTAACTCAAAATGATACATGCACCCCCGTATTCATTGCAGAAGTATTTATAATAGTCAAGATATGGAAACAACCTCAGAGTCCGTCAGTGGATGTTTGCAATAGAATATATACACACACAATGGAATATAATGACCTAAAAATAATGGAATCTTGCCATTTGCAACAATATAGATGGACTTTGAGGGCATTATGCTGAGTGAAATAAACCAGAGAATGACGAATACCATATAATCTCACTTGTATGTGGAATCTAAAACAAAACAAGTTCATAGATCTAGAGAACAGATTAGTGGTTGCTAGAGGCTGAGGGTGGGGAGTGGGCCAAAGTAAAGGGTGTCAAAAAGTACATACTTCATTATAAAATAAGAGGGATGTAATGTACAGCATGGTGACTGTAATTAATAACACTGTATTGCATTTTGGAAAGTTGCTAAGAGGGTAAGTCTTAAAAGTTCTCCCACAAAGATTTTTTTGTAATTACTCAAGGTCCTAATTGTCAACAAGACTTAACTGTGATGAGTTGGCAATGTATACCAATTTCAGATCATTATGGTTGTACACCTGAAACTAATGTTATATCTCAATTGTACCTCAATAAAGAAATATTCATCACAGCATTGGAAGTCCAACCGACAGCATTCAGGCAAGCAAAATAAAAAGCATCCAAATTAGAAAGGAGAAAGTAAAACTCCGTAGTTGCAGATGCTATCATACTATACACAGGAATACCTCAGAGATGCGGCAGCCTCGGTACCAGACCACTGTCGTAAATACTGCAGTAAAGCAAGTCAAGGAAACCTCTCGCTTTCACAGTGCATATAATGGAAATGCAGATGGTGTAATGGGATTACTGGTGTAGTACTCTACTACTGTGGGGCATTAAGTGTTCAGTAGCTTTATGTCTAAAACAACAAAGTACATACCTTACTTAATTAAAAAATACTTTATTGCTAAAAAATGCTAACCATCATCTGAGCTTTCAGCAAGTTGTAATCTTTTTGCTGGTGGAAGGTCTTGCCTTGATTTTGATGGCTGCTGACTGATCGTGTGGTGATTGCTGAAGGTTGGGGCAACTCTGGCAATTTTTTAAAATAAGACAACGAAGTGTGTAGTACTGATGGACTCTTTCATGAAGGGTTTCTCTATAGCATGCAGTGCTGTTTGAAAGCTTTTTTTTTTTTTTTTTTAAGTAGGCCCCGCGTCCAGTGTGGAGCCCAGTGCAGGGCCTGACCTCACGACCCTGAGATCAAGACCTGAGCTGAGATTGAGAGTCAGATATTCAACCGACTGAGCCACCCAGGCACCCCTGTTTGATAGCATTTTTAACCATAGTAGAACGTCTTTCAGAAGTGGAGTCAGTCCTCTCAAATCCTGCCACTGCTTTATCAACTAAGTTTAGGTAGTATTCTGAATCCTTTGTTGTCCTTTCAACAGTCTTAACGGCATTTTGACCAGGAGAAGATTCCATCTCAAGAAACCATTTTCTTGGGTCTTTGCTCATCCGTAAGAAGCAACTCCTCATCTGTTCAAGTTTTTTCATGAGATGGCAGCAATTCAGTCACATCTTCAGGCCTCATTTCTAATTCTAGTTCTCTTGTGGTTTCCCCCACATCTGCAGTTACTTCTTCCACTAAAGTCTTGAACCCCATGAGGGCTAGAAGCAACTTCCAAACTCTTCCTGTTAATGCTGTTATTTTGACCTCTTCCCATGAATCACATATGTTCTTAATGGCAGCTAGAATGGTGAATCCTTTCCAGAAGGTTTTCACTTTACTTTGCTCAGATCCATCAGAGGAATCACGGTCTATGGCAGCTATAGCTTTACGAGATGTATTTTTTTTTTTAAAGATTTATGCATTGGGGCGCCTGGGTGGCTCAGTCGTTAAGCGTCTGCCTTTGGCTCAGGTCATGATCCCAGGGTCCTGGGATCGAGCCCCGCATTGGGCTCCCTGCTCAGTGGGAAGCCTGCTTCTCCCTCTCCCACTCCCCCTGCTTGTGTTTCCTCTCTTGCTGTGTCTCTCTCTGTCAAATAAATAAATCTTAAAAAAAAAAAAAAAAGATTTATGTATTTATTTTAGAGAGAGCATGTGCGTACCTGAGAGAGAGTGAGTGGGGGGAGCAACAGAGGGAGAGAATCTTCAAGCAGACTCCCTTCTGAGCGTGGAGCCTGGTGTGGGACCCAATCTTAGGAGTCATGAGACCATGACCTGAGCTGACACCAAGAGTTGATGCTTAACTGACTGAGCCACCCAGGCGCCCCATGAGATGTATTTCTTAATAAGCCTTGAAACTCGAAATTACCCCTTGATCTGTGGGCTGCAGAATGGATGTTGTATTAGCAGGCATGACAACATTAATCTCATTGTACATCTCCAACAAAACTCTTAGTAAGCAAGTACACTCTCAGGAAGCAGTAATATTTGGAAAGGAATCTTTCTGAGCAGTAGGTCTCCACAGTGGACTTAAAATATTCAGTGAATCATGTTGTAAACAAATATGCTGTCATCCAGGCTTTGTTGTTCCATTTATGGAGCATAGGCAGAGTAGATTTAGCATAATTCTTAAGGACCCTAGAATTTTTGGAACAGTAAGTATTGGCTTCAGCTTAAAGTCACAAACTGCATCAGTACCCAACAAAAGAGGGTCAGTCTGTCCTTTGAAACTTTGAAGCCAGGTATTGACTTCTCCTCTCTAGCTATGAAAGTCCTAGATGGCATCATCTTTTAATAGAAGCCTGTTTAACCTACATGGAAAATCTGTTTAGTGTAGCCACTTCCATTAATTACCTGAGCTAAATCTTCCAGACAGGGAGGGAGGGGGAGAGGGAGAGAGAGAGAGAGAGAGAGCAAGCTTGGGGGAGGGGCTGAGGGAGAGGGAAAGAGAAACTCTAGCAGACTCCTCATTGAGCTCAGAGCTGGAGCGGGGCTTGATGTCAAGACCCTGAGATCATGACCTGAGCTGAAACCAAGAGTTGGGACATTCAACCAACTGTGCCACCCAGGCGCCCCTACCTTACACTTTTATGCTATAGAGAGGGTTTCTTTCCTTAAACCTCATGAGCCAACCTCTGCTGGCTTCCAGCTTTTCTTGTGCAGCTTTCTCACCTCTGTCAGCCTTCATAGAGTTAAAGAGAGTTAGGGCCTCGCTCTGGATTAGGCTTTGGGTTAAGGGAGTGTTGTGCCTAATTTGCTCTTCTATCCAGACCACTGAAACTTTCTCCATATCAGCAATAAGGTGGTGTTGCTTATCATTCATGTGTTCAGTAGAGTAGCACTTTTAATTTCCTTCAAGAACTTTTTCTTTGCATTCACAGCTTTGCTGTTTGGGGCAAGAAGACTAGTTTTCAGCCCATCTTGGCTTTCAACATGCCATTCTCACTAAGCTTAATCATTGCTAGCTTTCGATTCAAAGTGAGAGACACGTGACTCCTCCTTTCCCTCGAACACTTAGAGCATTGTACGGTTAAGTGGCCTAATTTCAGTATTGCTGTGTCTCAGGGAATAGGGAGGGACAAGAAGAGGGAGAGAGATGGCTGGTGGTGGAGCAGTCAGAACACATACATTCATCAAGTTCACCATCTTATATGGGCACGGTTTGTTGTGCCCCAAAACAATTACATTAGTAATATCAAAGATCTATGATTGCAGATGACTGTAAAAAATATAACAATAACGAAAAAGTTTGAAATATCGTGAAAAGTACCAACATGTGATAGAGATACAAGGTAAGCAAAGGCTGTTGGAGAAATGGGGGCAAGAGACTTACTGAATGCAAGGTTGCCACAAACCTTCACTTTGTAAAAAATGCAGTATCTGCAAAGTAAAGTGAAGTGCAGTAAAATGAGGTATGTCTACAGAAAACCCTAAAGAGTCCACCAAAAAACTTAAGTGAATTCAGTAGACTTCTCAGGTTACAAAATTAACATACAGAAATTAGTTGTTTCTGTGCAGTAATAATAAGCTATCACGGAGAGAAGAAAACCCATTTACAATTGCATCCAGAGGAATAAATGTAACCAAGGAAGTGAAAGCCCTGTACTCTGAAAACTGTTAAGACCTTGATGAAAGAAATTGAAGATTATACAAGTATATAGAAAAGTATTCTGTGCTCATGGATTGAAAGAATTACAAAATGTCCATACTGCCCAAAGCAGTCTACAGATTGAGTACAATCTCCATTAAAATAACATTGACATTTTTTACAGAACTAAAACAAAGAATCCCAAAATTTGTATAGAACCACAGAAGACCTCAAATAGTCAAAGCAGTCTTGAGAAAGAGGAACAAAGCTGGAAGTATCGTGCTCCCTGACTTCAGACTATAATTACAAAGCTATAGTAACTGAAGTAATACGGTATTGGCATGGAAATGGACACATAGATCAATGGAATGGAGAGACCAAAGATAAACACTATTATATGGTCAGTTAATCTTTGACAAAGGAGATAAGAATGTACAATGGGGAGGGGCGCCTGGGTGGCTCAGTTGGTTAAGCGACTGCCTTCGGCTCAGGTCATGATGCTGGAGTCCCTGGATCGAGTCCCGCATCGGGCTCCCTGCTCAGCAGGGAGTCTGCTTCTCCCTCTGACCCTCCCCCTCTCATGCTCTCTCTCTCTCTCTC